AGGACCGGCCAACGGGGGTGTACCTGCACACAGAGCCCCACAGGTCACGGCCACTTTTCTATATTTTTACATATTTTTTCATGCAAAAGATATTTAAATAAAGCACATAACTCAAGGGGTGAGCCTTTGATCAGTATATATACATAAATAAATACAATACAATCCCCATTTACATCAGATTTAAATAAAAATCCTCTGTTACAGATGCGATAAACTCAGTCCACCTGCACTCATAATATCTAATTATATATGTCACATTATCACCAAGAAGCAAACCTGGATGCACTGATTTCAACTGAAATGTGTCCATAAGGAGCACCTTTTAGTCTGAAAGGTCCAATCAGAGGGCACGACCAGGATATGAGTTGGTCAGGGTCACCTTTTATCCCCTGAGCTATTCTAAACATCTGCTTTAGCAGCTCAGCTTCTGAACAGCTTATTGCCAAACTCAAACAGGTATTTTGGCCAGTGGCTTAAAGTGGCTGAAATCTTTATGAGCGCCCCCCCACCCCGAAAAACCAGCAGGTATTTAGACCAAACTGTGTCCCAAACAGCTCAGTAAGATTCCAGCTGGCTAATCTGTGGCCTTGGTTTTATTTTCACCAATAGAAAAACCTCAAAGGAGAGCGTTTCAGTGCATTTTTAAAGGAAAAACCTGTGATTTTCTGGAATAATTCCAGCTGTGAGTGAGAACATCTGCAGGTTTTAAAGGGACGCACTTCATGGAGGGCAGGTGTCGCAGCACCACGTCCACGGCGTGCACGGGGTTGGTGCTGATGGGCTTGTCCAGGTCGACGGGCTCGGCGGCAGCGTGCCCCGTCAGGACGTCGTGCAGCAGCCGCCAGCTGACCACCGACACAAACGCCATGGCGACCTTAAAGGGCCGGTCCTTCCCGCCCTCCCCCGGCAGCGTCACATCCAGGTCGACCTGGGGAGAAGCGGCACGGTCAGAAAGCCAGAAAGCAATACGTAGGATTATGTTGGAGAAAATGTGGAACTGACAATGCTAACCACACACGTATTCTGGCAATGCCCAAAATTACATCAGTTGTGGAAAGACATCTTTGAACAGGAAATCGCAAACAGGAAATCCCATTCAATATAGTCATTGCCTTATTGGGAGTAACACCTAAAACTATCGCTACACGGGATGGAAAATATATTTTGAACATATTATCAACAGCGGCTCTAAAATGTATAACTATCAGATGGCTCCAACCTGAGCCTCCTTGCTATAATATATGGATCCAGAAGGTCTGGGACATATACCAAATGGAATATATATAACATACTCCCTGAGACTACAAACACCCATATTCAATAAACGTTGGAGACCTGTTCCACTAATTATGCAATGAGGTTTTTTTTTGTTTTGTTTTTTCTCACACTCTTGTAATCACCCTGTGTTTGTGTTTGGTTGTTTTTTATGTTTAAAAATGTAAAAATACACATGTACATTTGTACCACACTGTATTATTTCAGAAAAAATAATACAAATTTTGTTTAAAAAAAAGAAAGCCAAAAGCAGCGTTGGCGGGAATGGCGGCAGTGGGCGGGGCTTCTTACCCCGCCGGCGGCCACCGGCAGCGGGCTGGCCGTGTACAGGCTCCTCTTCCCATCGTACACCGGCAGTCGGTCCCCAAAGATGGTCACCTTGAAGTGCTGCACCATGGTGTCTACCACCTCCCTGAAACACAGCAGCTGCTAGCAGACGCTTCCCCACGTCACAGGAAACAGAAAACCGACAACAGCTGAGAAATGTACTTTAAACCTGAAAAAAAAATCATCTTCAGGCCTTTTCAAAGCCATTTTCTGACCATTTCTGAACATATCTGGCAAGAAGCCTGCAGATAAACTATTTAAACTGCTGCTCTGCTGAGCTGGACACAACGCTGGCTCAGCCCTTGAGTTAGGGGCGGGTTTTCTGCAACAAACATTAAAACTGGACTAAAAATGATTTTAAAAAAATAGAAAATGTCCGCACAAAAAACTTTGAAAGACCTCAGGAATCCTGGATCAGTGTCACTAGAGAACACTTGAGGGAATATTCAAAGAAATTAAAGGTGGCTGAAGACTTTTTAAATGAATCTTTCTCCTTCTGATTCACTTTAAACTGCTGCTCTGCAGATTG